TTGACAGCCCCCCCAGATGGCCCCCGAAAGCAAGCCTCCTAATGCCCGGCTCTTCTCCATATTGGATCACACACTTAATAGTAATGAACAGCCCGCAAGGCCCCTGGCCACAGCTTGTTCCAGGTTCCAAAAACAGCGGAGTTGAAAGTCTTTTTTTTTTTTTTTTCCCCGAGCTCCTAGATTCAATTTCCCACCAAGAAGAATTACTGTACAGGAGGTACACTCCACTCACAGGCCTGAGGTATTCCTTCCCCAGTAGAAAAACGCGGCCAACTTCAGTAAAATGATCCCGTCTGAAAACCGGCCATTGTGGCCGACACTGGCTCTACAGCACCCTGGGCCAACTCACCTCCTGTTAAACCGAGCAGCCCCCCAGTGTCCGGGGCCACACCGGATACCTAGAAAACCACAGCACCCCCCCCCAAATCAAAGCAAATCTAAAAACATGCACCCAATTAAGCAGCACATTCTAGCCCGATGGAAAAGCTCCTGCCAGCAACTTCATGCAGTAAAAGAAATACACTCAGGATTACCAGCTCCAGTTATTTGCATTCACTTTTATTAAGCATAACATAACAAAAGTGCCCGATGCTTCTGTAATGAAATTTTCTGCAATCTGTGTTGTTTTCGATATAATATGTAACTACCACTGTGAAGCCAAGAGGATGTTAGGGGTTAATGCCCTTAACTCCCACATATTACAAAGCAGCCACCTTAATGGGGACATAATTTGGGTGACTGGATAGTACATATGGTTATACAGGGTTAGTCAGAATGCTGTCGACACCTTTGACAGTTTATTACAAATTAATTACATGGGCTACTGTGACAAAAAAAAAGGTTTCAAACGAAAGCATAAATAGCAAAGTTTCTTACAGTTACCTTACAGTCCTTCGCCTTCTGTGGGGGAGAAAACAAAACTTTAGTGAAATAAGTGGTTTTCATACTCGTCGACGACATTTTGACTAACCCTGTACATCTATACTGTACATAAGGTAGGTTTACAAAAAATGAAGATACAAGGAGTTATTTTGCAAACTGCTTGTAAAGTTGGAATGTGTTATTTCAAAAGTGTAAATATATTTTCCAATTTTTAATACAAGACAGAGCCTGTGGTATTTTTAATTATGAAACCCCCGATTCCCCTGGGCCAAGAGAGGGAGTGTTTTGGCCTCACGAAGGTCAGTGACTCAAGACACCTCTGACGCACGAAGGAGTGTTCATCGCTGCTTTATTCAGATATAGATTTATTCAGTAGCTACAGAACAGTGATAAATTCACTGTGTCGTACAGGAACTGGGGATTCTTTGGTTTGCGAAGACAGATGTTCTCAAGTACTGTTTTTTCAATTAGGACACCTACCATACACACGCCTTTCTTGACAAACAACAGGGTGCTGACTGTTATGAACAGACGTTTCTGACTGAAACGCAACCCAGTCGCGCCAAGATCATGATATGATCTGGAAGCCTGGGCTTTAGGCATCTCTGTATTTATTTACAAATCCCCGTTTTTAATGATCACCAGAACAATGAAGAAAGGACAGGTGTCGGAGATGCCTACTGTGCCACTCTGGCTACAGTGGCTGGAGTGTCCAGCAGCTCTTGTTGCTTCACCCTGTTGTGAAGTTTTTACTACAGACTAGCCAAGTCTGGGACTGCAAAGGCTGTCTTGTTCTGGCCATCCGGAGCTCAGGTCGGGAACAGGAATCCACTGCAGGCTTGCGCTACATTTTTCTGAGTGCTATAAGACATCCGAAGGCTGCGGAGCAGGCAGCCAAGATAATGGCTGGTGGGTTTGCATTCCATTAGATCCATAATTCATGCAGGGCCGCAGAGCAGTCATTTGGCTTGTCTGCGCTGTTTGAAAGCCGTGCTCCTCTCTCGGCTCTCGCCAGCGCAAATAAAAGAAACCACAAGCTTTTTTTTTTTTAGGACACTTGGAAAGATCCAGAAGAGACAGGTTTTTTAATAGATAAAAAAAAGCAAAAGCACCTAACAGAGAGTATGGTATATGTATTATTAATACGTCATCTGTGCCTTTTCCACTGGTCATCCTGCTTGCTGGAGCTGGATGTAACTCGAGTTTTTAAGAACAGTGGCTAACCGATGAACCTAATGGCTCTAAATTATTTTACACCCGCCAGAAATTCCCTTGCATTTCATATCCAGGAAAGATGATGAGGTACAGGCACACAATTCATAAACCTTTTACGGCGCCTTCATTTGACCACCCTTTTTTGAAGCAGGAAACGCAAATTAATATTGCAAAATGACTAGAAAAACATCTACATTTATTTTAGAAACTTAAATATTTATCTTGAGAGATTTACGTCCTTTTTAAACTTTTTCGCCGTTTTCTCATTAGGAGGAAACAGGTGTTGACTTATAGCGGAGCTAAATGTTTTATGAATGTGGCCTATGAAGGTATAAAACTATAACTTCAAATGAGGAAACAAAATATTCAAAGCCAGACCCTTCAGTCACTGGCATGATGTGAGAACTTAAACTGATTTTACTGTGTGGAACAGGATGCCAATTAAACCCAATTAAGAATTCCACCCCTGGCAAAGAGCGCAAGGAAATTCAGTAAAAACCGTAACTTTCAAGGCAAGAGTGCCTTCTGTTAGTGACTACCACAAGACACTAATGTGTGTCTGGACTTGGCTCAACAACAAGACAGAATGACAGTTCCAGTAACGCACACAGAGGAGCAATTATTTTTTAAAGAAAAAAAACTCCCATGAAGGACCAGATTTAAAGGTTTAAATAAATGACCACCTACAGTTAAGAGAGTTTTTTTAATGATACTATTCATAAAAAATGTATCTGCGCAAAGATGTTCCTTCTACTGTAGGGAAACGCAACTGGACTTTCCTTTCCTCTTGAGTAACATTCATTCATATAAACGTAGGATTTAATACACAATCACTTATTATCAGTACACTCGTTAATGCTCAAAGGCTGTTAGGTTTGACATGAAGTGGCTGGTTTCAGGTGTACACAAAAGTCTCGTCAGGTGTACAGGCCGAAGCTACCTCCTGATTCTGTTGTGTGCTCCTACAGTGTATCATTTCTGCGTCCTCCCCACCCCAGAAACGTACGTCTTGCTTGCTTCAAGCTCCAGAAGGAATTATTGTTTGAATCCATGTTCAAGTGCAGAAAAATCCATTGCCATAGGTTACCTGGGCTCACACTCGATTGGCCCTCCCAGGAATGTTTGCTCTGTGTTGGCAGGATTAACCAGAGGTTCCTGCAGAAGAACTTTGGCCTGAGCGCGGCGGACATGTACAGGTGGAAGCTGTCTTCCCAGGAGCCCTGCAGCCTAACCTGCTCTATAGGTACATCGCGAGACCCTCTTCGCACTCTCACACACTCCTAGCAAAGCAAGAGGATAGCTTGGGCCTTCCCAAGAACTGTTCCGATGAAGGACCCTCCCTGTGGGACTCCATCTTCTTTAAAAACCAACAAAGAAATTCACGAAATAGATAGATAGATGATAGACAGATACTTTATTGATCCCATGAGGGAAATCGCAGTGCAACAGCAGCTTAACACACACAACACAGCCACAGTGTAATGAATTATATAATAATAGTACAATACAATACAAGAGTTACTCACAGTCCAGACACACAAGAACAAACTAGAACAGAACGGTACACAGAAAAATCGTATCACACATATGAATATAAATCTAGATGAAAATATAGATATAAATATAAATGTATTGCACAGGTCCCTGGCATATATTGCACAAAAAATGGTAGCAAACGGGAAAAAGAAAAAGAAAAAGAAAGAGAACAGATGTAGTAGTAGATGTGTAGATGCGTTTAGTCCAGAAACAGGTCACTGTCAGTGTTGCCTCTGCCCAGACACACAGTGGATGCATTGTACAGTCTTATGGCAGAAGGCAAGAATGACCTCCTGTAGTGCTCCCTGTCGCACCGTGGATGAATCAGTCTTTTGCTGAACGTGCTCTTCATTCCTGCAAGCCTGTCATAGAGGGGATGGGAGAAGTTGTCCATGATGGCCTCTATTTTGGACATCGTTCTCCTCTCAGCCACTACCTCCAAGGGGTCCAGGTCAGACCCAATGACAGAGCTTGCTCTCCTGATGAGCTTGTTCAGCCTTTTAGAATCCATAAATATGTT